AACACATGGACAGACTTAACCATAGTTTCAACTGGGAAACTGTCAGCATCCTAGACCAAGCCAAATCCAAAAACACTAAGGAATTCCTGGAAGTTTGACAAATCAGACAAATCAGTCATCAATAGACACATAGAAATAAACCATATTTACACACCATTCAAGAGACAACAAAATGCTAAGAAGGAAGCAAAAAGACTAGAATGCATCCTCTCCAGCACCCTACACCCAGATAAGCAGGGATCAGCACCAGACAAACAATCAGGCGGAAAACAACACCTTAATCAAGGAACTACCAAGGGGAAAACCACACCCCCACCCCCACTGGCAGGGCAAGCCACTGCATAGAAACAGGGAGCAAACCCCACACTCACCAGCACTGATGATGTTATCTAGTTGGGTAATGAAACATCTGCAAGCAAACAACCAAATTCAGAGAGCACCAAGGACTCCACAATCCAACCCTGAGCTACATATATTCTCTCCCATTGGAATACTTGTATTGATGATTGGGGGTTCTGTTGTCATTGTCATTTTATCTTGGCTGTCAATCGTCTATTTTATACTTCTTGTTGTCATTTTAAATTGCTGTTAGTCACTTGTTTCAGATGAGCAGCCATATATAATAAATAAATAACTAAACAAACATGTACACTTATTTTGACAGATGGTTACATTCCTCCTCAAGCCATTTAAAGCCATTTCCACACTGAACATAATATGTTCCAAAATTATTAGTCCGTCCTTGCCTGCACTAAAGTTTTTTCAATGTTCATAAACATTTCTACATTTCGATCCATCCGGGAAGGGTTCTGCAAATCAAATCTCCGCCTGCAAAGAAAAACATTGGAGAAAGAATGGACCTTTGGGCATTTACTATAACTCAATACAACAATAAATGCAATTAGGGTTGTGTGGTGCTACGTATCTATAAGGCAACCCTCTCGAGTAAGAAACTGATGGTTCTCCTCTCCAGCTGAAGACAACGTAGGTTCTAATCATTCCATAGAAGCATGAGCGTGAAAGAGTGACAACTAAGCAACCAGTTAACTGGCTACTCAATGGCCAATAATTAGCGAAATGAGATGGGACCAAAGGTGCTAATAAGAACTGACCTAGTGAGAATGTTGAAGGGTAGGAGGAAGACAGAGAGGGAGTAAATTCTCCAGAGCAGAGCTGTGCTTCAGAAAGACCCTTCTCAGGCTTCAACCTCCATGATGGGGCTGTAACTCTCAGAATCTCCAGCCAGGATGGAAGGTGGCATGTTGAACTACTTACCAGACAAAAGGCTCACAACAGGGACTCTGGGCCATTATGCAGAAATGCAGTATGCTCTAGTGCATGAAATACTGAATCTGATATAAGTACCCAATCCTGCACCCTTTGGGACAGGCCACCCATTTCCAATGGCTTCTGTCTGTCATGTTGCATATATCTGAAGCTCATCCAAAGGATAAAAGTTTTGGAAGTGAGCTGGGGACTGAATATGGCGTCAGGCAAAAAAGACAGATCTTTAGAGCAAGGACGGTATGGATTCAGCCCATGGCCATGCTGGCTGGGGGAAGATGGGAACTGTAGTTCATCTGGAAAGCATGGAGTGGGGGAAGGCTGGACTAATTGTCCCTTCTATATCCTGGAACATTTGAAAAGTTAATCATCTGTTTTACTGACTTGGTTAAAAGTGTTTAAGGGCAAGAGCCACCAAGATATGGAGGACACAAGGTGATATGAAATCTACAAACCAGTCCTGTCTCTTTCAACGCAATCTAAAGAAAAGGTAGGAAGCAAAATATGGGGAGAGAACTCACCATCCTTGTTCGTTCTTATACTTGTAAGCAGCACCAAGAATGTAACATAATGTTCCTCCAGCTTTGAAATCCATGAAGCACTTTGCCTAAAACACAAGACCACCTAAGGTGACATTTGCATTCATCCTACCAAGTCAGAAACAAGCAACAGGGGAACAACTTAACCATCCAGTTACAGAAATCTCCTAACACACATTATTGCTAAGTCACAAAAGCAATGCTATAGAAATACCTCACTCCCTCTTTCCCTTTCAAGTGACATTTGGGACTTACTTGGCACCAGAGTACCTGCTTAACTGTTTCCCTCATAACCATAAGCACAAGGCAGAAAACAATGTCCTCCTTAAGGCTATGCAGTACTCCAGATTCGAGGCTAAAGGTGCTTTGGAGCAGGTGGGGTCCCACGTGTGACATGTGTCTCCAACTCCTTAAACCAAACACGTTTTTTCTCTGTACCCCACTGTAGCTGCAGAGGACAGCCATGCAATGCCAGAAAAAGACACAGCTGCTTTAAGAAGCTGCAGACCAATACTATGTGAACATCCCCGCAAGCTCTGAAGCACCATTTTGCTTCCAGTTCTGAAGCCAGAACAGTCCAAAAGCTTGAACAGAAACTTTTCAAGTAAAACTTACTCTGATAGTGCACAGAGCATTGTTTGAACACCATTTGACAAAAATAAACAAGTTCCATAGAGAGTCCAAGCACTTATGAAACTGTGTTTAATATTACAAAAGTATCCTTTCCAGGAAAGAAACATACCTCTTGTCTATTCTTATTACAACATTTCCCAATCTGGCACCCAGATGTGTTGGAATACAACCTCCTGAATTCCAGACAAGTCTTTGTCCATGCTGGTTGGCAATTCCAGTATCAGGGTGGAGGATAGCCGGGTGAGGAACGCTATACTGACTGACTCCACCGTGCAAAATATGGTTTCTCAACCATATTTCAGGAATTGTAATTTAACTAGTCTTGCTTGATTTGGTATCTTTCAGGGAGCTTTGCAAACTGGGAACTACAGGGAGTGGTAACTCAATACATCTGGACAGCACCGGTAAGGCAAGCAGCTCTACGTTATAGGGGAAATTATAATGCACATTTACAATGGATTGATTTAATTTAAGGCATCTGAAAACATAACATTATAAATCAAAATTGTCATTATATATATATATATATATTTGCCTAAGGAATTCCTGGAAGTTTGACAAATCAGACAAATCAGTCAT